CCTAATTTCTACTCCTTGTTGACATCAGTTCTTCATTTCTTGCTCTTAATTTCTTGTTGAGAAACCATTTGTTTGTCTGTGAGTTCCCATTTTCCTGGCCTCCTGGCAGTTTGCATTTAACCTCTGCAGCCTGACCTCTGAAGTGCCAGCTGTCTTTGCTGATCAGTCCCTTTTTCCATTCCTTGTAGGTTCTCTACTTTCCCTTAATATCCTGCTTTGAGGTGCATTCTCATGCAGGTAGGTCTGTAGCCCTTTCCTGTCCCCCTTTTTAACTTTACTGGGATATAAGGACTCAGATTTAAAGTAAACCTTTCCCTCCCATACACTCAAATCCAACTGTGTATGTGTTTCATATATCTTTGGATGAAATTTTGGTTTATGGCCCATCAGGGAAAGGTGGGATTACCCTTGAAATGTAAAGAAAAACTGTTGGTTATTTTTGGGTCATGCAGCTGGTGAGGTCTGTACCCCCAGAAAAGATTAAGGAAGTTTGAATTGCCTTTGGCAATTACTCTATGTTGTATAGGCTGCTTATTTCCAGATGGTTTGGTGTTTTTTTTTTTGTTTCCTTCACGTAAAACCATGGGAATTAATTTGAAAAACTGGCATTTAAACCATCTGAATCAGAATTTTTTTTTTCTTGATGCTAGTTATGTTTATATAAACACAGTCCATTTTGTTAGAAGGTCAATGATTTTGGACATTCCCTGAAATCCTTTCCTGGTTTCACTTTTTAAAAGAAAAATATTAAAGGTATGTTGATGTTTCTTTTTTCATTGTGTTGGGGGCCAGATCTATATGGCACCTTTTTGCTGAAAACCCTGACACACAAGAGGACAGTTCACTTTTCCATTTTTCCAAGTAGTTGGGAGAGCTCATACAACAGATGCAAGGGCTTTTTAGAGCTGAGTGATCTCTTCTGACTCTGCATATTATCAAAGGAGAAAAGGATAAAATTAATTCCCCAGTTTTAGAGCATGGCGTGTGCGGGTCCAGCGTGGCTCTGTGTGGCTCTCTGTGGGTCCTGTGTGGCTCTCTGTGGGTCCTGTGTGGCTCTCTGTGGGTCCTGTGTGGCTCTCTGTGGGTCCTGTGTGGCTCTCTGTGGGTCCTGTGTGGCTCTCTGTGGGTCCTGTGTGGCTCTCTGTGGGTCCTGTGTGGCTCTCTGTGGGTCCTGTGTGGCTCTCTGTGGGTCCTGTGTGGGTCTCTGTGGCTCTGTGTGGGTCTCTGTGGCTCTGTGTGGGTCTCTGTGGCTCTGTGGCACCGCAGGGCCCCTCAGAGGCTGGAGGAGGGCGCTGGGTGCGGAGCCTGCGCTGAATTTCCGTGGTGTCGGGGGGTGTTGGGTTCCCAGTCTGTCAGCCCCTCCTGCGTGCACATTGGGACCATATGGGATTGCCCAGCTCCATGTGCTGGCAGCACTCCCTGCAGATGGACACGGATGAAACGCCCGAGTCCACGAACCAGCACGGGAATGTCACGTTTGGGCTCTCTCTGTCTGCGCAAATCTGTGTCCTCCTGAGCTGGGGGGTGGCAGAGCTACTGAGGAGTTGGGTTTTTTTCTGGCTTCTGGTATCAGAATGGGGCTCAGTGCTCTGCTGTGTTGATTTTGATAGTGTGAACCCTAGAGCTAATATAAATTTTAAATCACACTTTTATGAATTTCATTTAAATGTAATTGGAACTCCTCAATGTGGTCTAATGGTGATGTATAATGCTTGTCTCTTTCTTACCCTTGGGGGTGCTGGGGGAATCTCTGAAAGTCCCTTTGTCAGCTCTTTTTGTTTGGGGATAGCCATTTTCTTTTCTGGATCTGCTGTAAATTTCCAAAGTTCACCTCTGCTATATCCTAGTGCTTGATGAGCTGACAGCAAGAGGGAGATTTGCAAGTCTTTCACTGTGTTTGTTAGCCAAGACTTCCTGCAGTATTTATGCTGCAAGACTTTAAAAGCAATGATAATAGTATTTAGTAACTAAAAGCTTGAAAAACTTATTAATGGACTGTTTATATTTGTGTTATTCCTCTTAATTGTTTCCCTTCACTTTAATGAGATGAAAACCAATTTAGTGTCATTAGTAAGTGTCTGAGCATGTTCTTCAAACTGAGCTGTGAGCACTATGGTGGGGAGTCTGGGGGTTATATCTTTAATATGAGGGTTATATCCTTAATAGGATGGCACTTTGTTGTTTGGCTTAGTCTTAAACTTCACTGTGGGTCAGTGGGTGTTTGTGCTACATGTGGCACTAGATGTTGAAAGTGGATGTTTACATCTGGTATGCATTGGGAGATTAAGGTAGAGAGGATGAAGTTTTGGGTATGTGTTTTTTGGATGAAGGATAAAGTGAGAATACTTTTATTTCCTCTTAGATTTGAAACATATCATTCTAGCAATGCCTTTGAAACTCTGCCAGCTTTGCCAACCGTAACATTTATGGGATTTTGGACCTAAACTGAACTAGAGAACTGTTTTTAGTGGCAGAGAAAAAGGTTAGTGCATGAAAATAGCTGGGCCTATTATTGACTGCATGTGGTCAGTGGTTTGGCTGAATGTAGGTGGCTCTTTTCCTGTCACTGTTTTCAAGCATATGGCTTTGTGATGAATATAAAACTCTTTCGAAATGAGATCTGCTGCAGTTCTTTTTGCACAGTAGTCTTGTGCTATTTAGTAGTGATTATTTTGCTTTTGTCATTTATTTTCAATCCTGTATTAAAAAAAAAAAACAAACCTTTTCAAGTAAAGCTTGCTCCTGTTGACATCAAAGCTGAGAGGTTTGAAGAATGTGATCATCTGTGTATAGCAGCTGCTTCTGTCAGTAATATTTCTAAAAGGATGCCTAAACTGTGTGGTTGAGTCTTTATTGTAGTTGATGCTGGGATTGTTTGCAGTGGGCAGAAACTCCCTCTAAATGTGCACGTGCATTTTGTTTAATGATTACTTGTGTGAAAATCTCTAATACTGAATTACAACTTCCCTTTCTTTGCTTTTCATATTTCCAGTCTTGAAAGTAACATTTATAGCAGTTTCTCCCAAGGTGAACTTTTTTCCCATTGTGTAGAAGACAGCTTGGGTTAACCCAGTGTTTTGTTTCCTTCTTTGTGTGTAGTATACAAGGTGCAACCTCAGAACTCAAGGAACAGTGAATTTTCTTGCTCCTGCTGCAGAGAGCTTAAGGGCACAACAGGTTCTGTTTAACTTTAACTTAAACAGTGTTACCCTATTTATATCTTTGTAAAAGATCTGGGTGATAGAGCTGTAAATTGTACAGATTGTGGATTGTGTAGATTGTCTGGTGTTTTCAGTGTAGAAGAAGATTCTAGTGAATCTTGTTTTAGCAGCTCTCAGATGCAAGAGCTGGTTTCATTCAGCTGAGAGCAAAGTACATTTGGGTCTGCAAGATGCTGAGAAGTGCAGCAAGTTTTAGGGGCACAGAGCACTTCATGAGTTGGTTCCATTGCTGTGAAGTATTTTTAAAACAAAGCAAAACTGTTCTGTAGGTTGGGGGAAATGTTATGGTTTCCTCCTGTTTGAGGGAAATAATATATAGAATTATCCAGTTTTTAGAGTAACTGTAAAAGAATAACTAAATAAACAATGAGGTAACTTGCAGGGCTGCTTAACATATTTTGAATGTATTTGTCAGTCAGTCCTGCATCCTGTTTCACAGGCCAGACACAAGGGAAAACACTTTTACAAAAGTGAGGCTTCTTGTGTGATCATGCTTTACACATTTTTAAGAATTTAGTTTGTTACCTATCTAAAAAAATATACAATACTATTTGAAACACAAAATCAACTTTTAAATTATTGAAATAAAAAAAACCAAAAACTTCTAGATGCTGTAATTATTGCAGTGGTAGATAGAACTTGGTGAAATATCTTCCTGCAATATAATATAACAATATCACTCACAGTTTATTAAGAAATTTCTTTTCTAATTTAAACTAGCCCTTCTGAACTGTATCATGAAGACAGAGCTGTTTTTCCCAAGCAGGCTGGGTGAAAGACTGTCACTAAGCAAGAAGTGCTATGCATGTGTTTGTAACTCTTCTTGCAAGAGAATCTTAAGTAATTGCATCCTCAATAATTAAAAAAATATATAATTTGAATTTTCCTGAGTTTGGGGTTGTGCAAAACACTCTCAATATCAGCAAGCTTTGTAATGTGTTTTTGCTTGCATTTTGGTTTGTTTGGGTTTTTTTTTTCCCTCATTCTGTTTTAGGACTAGGAAAATGCTTGATATTTTGACAGTAGTAATTGTCCCAATTCAGGAATGCTCTGTAAAAGATATCATACTTGAAATACTGATAAAGGTTCCTAACTGGTACTGATAATCTCCTTCACCTTCATGTTCCAAATCTTTTTTGATACATGAAGATGATGGAGATTATCATGATGCCTCAGGTTTTAGCTTTTATATTTTTCACATTCTGTGCTGCTTTAGTGTGTGGGACTGAGCTTCACATTAGGGGATAGTGAGCTCTGCACAGAGCAGGGAGACAAAACAATTCCTGCTCCAGCTGGGCATCAAGGACAAATGATCCAAATCTCAGCCCAAGAGCACAAACACCGTGGGCTGGAGAGGGAGGAACAAGCAGGATGGGACTTCATGGGCTGAAGCTGGAATTGGAAAATTAACTCCAGTGTGCTAATGGACTAAAACTTATAAAAATGTGAGACCCCGTGAGTGGTTGTGCACTTTGTGACCATTTTGGTTCATCTTGGGTGCAGCCCTGGCTGGGCTCTTGTGCTGCCCAAGGTGGATCCATTGAGGAGATCCTTTTAATAAATCCCTACTTTATTTTTTAACTCCATCCAGCCTCTGTTCTAGGTCAGCCTTCACAAGGCATCAATCAGTATCAGTTCTCAACATGGACTGATAGAACAGTATCTACAAAAAAGTATCTACAAAAAAACTGCTGATGAACTTTGATTTTAATTTATCTGAGGGGTTTTTGTGGTGGCTTTTTGTGAAAGTAGTTACAATTCCCCTTGCCTGTTGTGCAGAGGTTGGAGACCTGCGGGAGCTGCAGACTCTGGACATCTCCACCAACCGCCTGATGACGTTACCCGAGAGGCTGCACATGTGCCTTTCCCTGCAGTACCTGACTGCAGACAGGAACCACCTGTGGTCTGTGCCCCGCCACCTGTGCCAGCTGCCCAGCCTCAACGAGCTCTCCATGGCTGGCAACCGCCTGGCATTCCTGCCCCTGGGTGAGTGCCCACCTGGGGGGTGGGAGACAGCAGAACAAGCTGCCCGCCCCCAGAAGTTAAAAACAAAACAACAAGTGAGTTTCTTTGGTGGTCCCCGCAGACTCTGTTTCTGGAGCTGTCACAGGGATCATATTGTTGGAAAATATGTTAATAAAAAAAATGCAGGTTAAGGTTTCGTGGTTTTTTTTAAAGCTATCAAATTTGCTTTATTTTTAGCTAACTGAGGGAAAAAAGTTTAAATTATGTGCTTAAATATAGTACTGTGTAATCTGAGTTCCACCACTTTGGGTAATGATCTGTTTCTGTTTGCTGGATATGATGATTTAACTAAGATTCCTCAACTAGGGTTTAAAACTTGTTGTGGAGTCCCAGTAACTCCATATAAATTACTTTTCAGCATTAGGAGTGTCAGTACCACATAATCCAGTGCAGGTTTAGTTTGTGCTGTGTACAGGCATCCATCAACATTTCCACAGTAGTAGTCCAGGGAGGAATTGATGTGCCTTTTGCTCAGCCCTTTTGAAAGTTGGGAAGAGTGGAAGCAGGTCAGGAGTGGGAGGTGCAGTCAGTGTGTGGGGGTTTGTTGGGGGCAGTCACTGTGTGTTCCCTTTGGGGAAAGCAAATCTTCTTCTCTGAACTTGTCGCTTTTCAGCCCTGCCACGGGGTAATCTCAGCTGAGATACAGACACACATGCAGAGCTGCCCTGCCATCTGAGAAACCATTAATACTTTTTCAAGAATACAGAGTTTGGTGTTAATTAGGTGCAGATTAAGTTATGATAATCACATTGGAAAGAAGCTGGAAACTGAGATTGCTAAAAATGAGATCATAATTTCTAAATTAATTACGTTGTATAGGTTTAACTTAATCTTTTCAGTACTAGCAGTTCAGTTTTTAAAGAACTTACTGATCTTTCTGAATTTTTTATCACCTCAGCTTTTATTACTGGAAAGTAAGTGCAAATAATGTCTCCAGACAAAGTGTTGCAGTTATGTCCCAGCATATGTCATTATATAAATGAGAAAACGAGTTCCAGGATGCATCATGCAGATTCCACAGTACTAAAACAAGCAAATTGCCTTCCCTTATTTTGGCAAATATTTTTAACTCCCATGAGAGAGGAAGTTAAACAATTTTAATTTTGCAAAAATTCAGTAAGATGAGATGTGAAATTTTAAAGGATAAAAGTTTTTGCTACTTTTGCACTGGTAGCGTACCTGTGAGCGAGCCGTGACCTGGATGAGCCGTAGATCTGCCAGAGTTTTAAGTTCAAAAGGAGGAAATAAATCTCTAATATAATGACACACCTTCTTTTTTCTTTATTTTTAGACTCAAATTCAAAACATTCAAAAGGAACTTTTAAAATAACGGGAAACATCAAAGACTGTCAATTGACCTTGTTCAGTAGTTCTTAATAGTGACTCACTGGAGAACATTTGGAGATAATTTGCTATCTGTGGATATGAAACTGAATCATAAATCCTAGAGTTCAGAGGAAAAGCAGCACAGTATAAATGTAAATGTTTAATCCTTCCTCTGAAGAATCAGAAGGCTTCAGAGTGGTCAAGATGTGATGAAATAAAGTAGAAGAGAGAGTGCATTGAAAAGCAAAAAGATTAAATCTATCTTCTGTTGCTTGGAAAATATTTGTCTTGGAGTATTGCTGAAGTTAAGGCATAATTGTAGCATTACTTCTGCTTGCTGCACATGTTGGCTGGTGGGGTTTTTGTGTGTATTCTTACATCCAACTTCACTTTACCAGTTAATGACTGATAAGGATGCTAAATAATGGTGAAAAATACTGCAGAAATACTTTCAAGTGATAGTCAAGCAAATATTGTCAAAACAATTTTTTGCAGTTAGGGAGCTGTGTTGAAAAGCAGAGAATTTATTCGTCTCCTGACAGAATGGTTGAGTTTTGTTTGTTTTTTTATTAGATGTGTCCATGTTAAAATAAATGCAGTTTAAACAAATTGCTTAATGCTTTTTAAAGCATTATTTACTGCATTTGTTTCACGTGGTGGGTGACATCTACTCTGTCAACCAGGAGTCCATTCTGCCTTGTCCAAGTTTGTCCCTCGTAGCTGCCAGCAGAGCCTCTTGTTGAGTGTAGTGGAAATCTGCATTTTCCTGTTCCTGGATTGATGGGTGCAAGGTTTATTCCAGCAGCAGCACAGCCCTGCTGGACAGGGATCTGGAGGTTCTTTACCCTGTACATGTTTGCAGGCACATGTGTCTTGGGAAAAACACTAACTGTTAATTAGTTTAAAAATACAGCAAAAATGCCTGATCCCACTCCCTGACTTTCAGAACAGGACCATAAACAAGCAGATGGGTAAACAACAGTGAATTAGTAATTTGTTTTGCAGAATACACCTAAATCTTGAATATGCCAGTGTTTTGTAAAAATAATTTTTCAGTTGTGAGTATTTCAGTTTATACTGAAAGAAATGAGACACCATGGATCTCAGCCTTTGGGTCTTCCTAATGAACTAATTTTTAAGAACAACTCCAGCAATTCTATGTATAAGTTGGACTGGAAGCTGCATCCTGAACAGTTGTATTATTGTCATGGTAACTTCATGCTCCCTTACTAAATGGTCTTAGAAATCTGCTGATCATTGTATATCAATCTACTTACAACATAAATTATCTTTTGATAGAAAATTAACTTTAAATTTTTAGCATTACCGAGTGCTCCAGTGCCTGAAAACAAATTCCACTGCAAGCAGAAATGTGAATCTGATGACACTGCAAAAATAAAAATCATTTGTGTAATAAAATACAAATATAATTAAAATAGGCCATAAATTCTCAAGTGTACTGGCAGTACAGGGGATGTTATGACAGCAAATATTCAGTATTATATCACTTTATTTGAGGGTTTATGTGCACTTTTTCTTCAGAAAATGGGTCTAGTAATTATCAGTGCACAGTAAACAAAGGTCTTATTCTACCTCAGTATATGCTGCTTTTGTGTCCATGCCCTCACAGTATGGTTAAAAGAGCATCAGTGCAGCCACACAAGAGCTTTTGTTCCATCTTCAGCCATGTGGAATGCATATGCCAGGGCCCTGAGGTTAAAAAAAAAAAAAGGAAAAAAAAAAGAGGGAGAAAAAGAAAAAAAAATAGAATTGGGGTTTGTTCAGGACTCATGGCATTTGGTCATTTCTGGGAGAGAGGTCTTTGATCTGGGAGGCTGGAAGGAGGAAAGTGGAAATGTTTTAGACACAGTACAGTGCTTGCAAAAGCCACATGAAAACCTTCTTTGTAGCTTTAGCCTTTTCAGAGATGGGCAGCTTCCTTGTTGCACCGAGTTCTTCAGAAGCAACTTTTAACAATATTTGTTGGCCGATATAAGACATAAAAATTAATGTGGATGGGATACAAAGAGCCTTTCAAAGTGATGATTTATTAAAATTTAAACTTTATGGATAATGTTTGAAACTGGGAAAAAATCTTTTGTAGTCTAGAAGATGCTTGGTTATTTAATGCAAAGAAACTCTATCAAAGGAACATTTATAGTTACAGGCTATTTGGCTTTGGGAATTGAATTTTTCCTACTGAGATATTTTGTCTAACATCCAAAAATTTGCTTTAATTACCTAGGAAATGCAGTCAACTCAGAACTTAGAATCTAAACATAGCATAAGATAAAGACAGAGGGAAGAGATGAGATGCAGCCTCACTCCCCCCTCTCAGTGCATATGAAAAGAACAGCTTTAGGGCTTTTTTTGACTTGCCTGATTTTCAGCCCATTTGCATACATCTGTGTAGAAACCAGCAAGATGAGCCTCTTTTAAAAATTTTCTGCCATTCTCTAAATTAATAAGTTAAACAGTAGCACATTCAAGCTACCCCAGCAACACATAGTTTCCTGCTGGTTTTAGTCTAACTGGCTTCTGCAACACAAGGGAATATTCTCTGAATATTACATGTCCCCATCCACCTGCTACCTGCTTTAAATTGTGTTGGCTGATTCCTCACCAGCCTTACAATATTTTATGGTGTTATATTGCCTCTGTGTTGCAGTATTTTTATTCATTGTAGGATAACAATGGGGTTTTGTTTCATCTAAAAATATCCCAGAACTTCACTAAACTATTTTCAGCCCTGCAATAGTGAGCCCAAATAAATCATCTCGTTGAGGTGATGCTCAGCAGCATCTCCAGCAGTGCCCATCAGTCAGCAGAGGGATTTGTGCTCCCATCCTGAGGGAGGACACTTGATGGATGCAGCAGATACTTCTGGGAGCTGGAATGTCTCTGGGACAGGGTCAAAGCAGCATGTGATGGTTGAATGTGTCCCTTGATGTCCAGTGACTCTGCTTTGAACAAAGCCCAGATTATGGTCCCTGAAACCCCCACAGACTGTTGCAAAGCAAGGGTCTGTGTTAAAGGGGAAAAAAACCCCAAAACTCTTTTTTTCTCTGTTAACACTTTTATTTTGGAAAAGGAGTCTCTTCATTTTCTGTTGGTATCATCACTTGTCCTTTATATCAAAGATTTGATATTGTGCCACTCCTCAGCGTGAACTTTTAAGGTTTCTGGTGCTCACAGCTGCCATTCAAGTGGGTGACAGCTGAAGAGATTCAGTATATTTTCAGATGGACACACATCTGGGGAGGGATCACTCAAAATATCTGCACTAAACTGGTATTTAGACCTCTTGTGTACAATAAAACTATTCAGTAATAAAGAAGGGTTTGTATTACCTATTGTTGTAGTAGGGAATAAGAGATCAGTATTCCAAATAGAATTTCTGAATAGAAATATCATGGGAATTGTTTTAATTTTTATTTTGTTCTTGATCGTGATTGCAAAGGGGACAGAAGCTGTTCCCATTTCTCCAGTTACCCTTATATTCCTGCCAGCCAAGGTAACTGATAAAGATGGAAGTCAGAATTAGTCAATATTAGTATTGTCTTGCTGTGGCTGATGCAGCCAAATGCTTGTTTATCTAAGTCTCTCTAAGGTCCTCATGAAAGTTTAACAAGTTGGGAGGCACACAGATTATTTGTGTTTTTCTTGATGCAGTTTGTCTGGGTCACAGCTCTCCCATCCTGGGCAGAGCCTTTCAGACTTTGCTCTCCTGGTTTGTGCTTTGCACTAAGCATAGAAACCTTTTCCTACCCCAGTGTCTCAAAGGGCATGGGAGTGTTAGATGAGTTGGGCTGCCCAGCTGATCATACACATCAGCTTTCTTACTAGTCCACAACTCCTTCAGACTTTTCTGGTTAGTTCAGTTTGGTATCTTTTGAAATGTCTCTCATTTGTTTTTCACTTATTTTAATAGCAGACAGTTTTACCACTCACTAGACCTTGCTAATAAGCAAAATTCTCATTTCTGAGAATTCTTCCAAGAAACCTAATTTTTCCCATTTAATTTTAATTTTTAAGCAAAATAAAATAGATCCATACTGATATGTTTCTATCCAGAGGTATCTTGATAGATTTCTAGTCCACGAATGCATTACTTAATCATGCTGTACTTGCTTCTTTGGACTACCAGCCATGAATATTTTAAGAGCAGTAATGCAATCAGCACACCTGCAGAAATATTGATCATTTATTGCAGCCACAACTTTTCTAACATTCTGCAGTTTAATGCTTTGTCTTTTCTGGGGCTCTGTAATTCACTGCATCACACAGACTCGTTTCTGAATGACTGCACTTGTATTTGGTTAAGGCTAATGAATCCCAGCAAGGATCTCTCCTTGGAGAAGAGGAGGAGGGGGACAGAGCACATTCTTGTGTCTGTCTTGCCCACTTTCCCAAAGATAGAGAAGCTGTGATTTCACTGACATGAGGCCAGTTAATGAAAGCAGGTTTGACCTTATGAACTTGAAGTATGCACGGAGGATTTGAAATCAATTGTCCCTTTGCTTCTTCAAACTGACTTCAGAGTTTGTCAATGTTAAAATTTAATTATTTATAATGGGATTTTCAGGGCTTCTGAAAGGGGGCTTTGTTTTGTTTTAGTAATTTGAAATGCTTGCTTCTAAACAGCTTTTCAGCTCATCCATAATAAAACCATTGGCTGAAATTTTACAACTGAGAAGTACTAATTTATGTTTGCTTACATTGAGTCTGATTAGCTTATTTATAATTAAAGAGAATTGTTTTGCTTATAATTGTCACTATGTCATCCTTTCTCCCCTTGACTTTCCTTGTTTTCTAAACCCAGATTTAGGTCGTTCTCGAGAGCTCCAGTATGTTTATGTGGATAACAACATTCACCTGAAAGGCCTCCCATCTTATCTGTATAATAAAGTCATTGGTTGCAGTGGGTAGGTATGAATTAATTCAGATGTCTTATGTACCTGTCCTTGTAAAATTTCTCCTGTATGGTACAGCTAGTTATTTTTTGTGTGTCTGTGATTGATTCAGAGTTGATGTTACTTGGAGGGGATTACTGCAGCTCCCTGCTCTGTTTTATTTTTGTAATAAATCTTCTGTGTTAATTGCTGACTTTTGACTATTTTAGTATTAAGGCATAACAGTGAAGTTACTCTGAAAGAATTTGTAATAATAATGTAAGGTCTAGAGCTGACTTTAAAAGTTGGCCAAAAGTGTAGGCTTCACAGAGTTTCCAGAACTAAAGAAAGAACAAAATAATTTTCATATATTGCAGCATCTCCTTGTTTCTAAGTGCTCACATTTCTGTAAGTTGTTGGTCATATCTTGAAAAGTTGTGTACAGCTCCTTCACTCATTTTGCATCCCAGCATCAGCTTCTTGTAGGTCTTGCTACCTACTAACTAAAGTGACTTTTTTTAGGAGTTATGGATTGACAGGTTTATTTTTACGTGTGGATTTTAAAAATATCCTGGGCTGTCTCATGTTTGTGGTTAGAATGCAAGAAAAAAGTGGTCTGTGTAGGACACTGGCTTAATTCTTTCTGCCCTGACACTGGCATAAATTAGGATCAGCACCCCTGATGAATGGAGCCTTACTGGTGTAAAACTGATCAGAAGAGGATTGTCCCCATTACCATCTAATTATAAATTTCTGGTATGCTCACTCTCAGCAGATCTCGCATTAAATATAAATTCCCTCTCTACAGCCTGCACTCTGCTGCAATATGGGAGATGCTGAGTCTTGGCATTTTAAGGTTTTTCTAATATTCCCATGTCAGCTGCTTGGTGATATTTAAATACTTGCAGTTGGATTACAGTTCTGCTGAACTGTGTGACTCGCAAGCTTTTACTAATTTTGTTTTTCAGGAAGGATAAATTCTAGCCTTTTTTCTTTCAGAACTGATTGTAAATTGTTAGACAGACATTAAATTGACCTTAAATTTAACAGAATTGTATCGACTGTGACCAAAAATAGTAATGATAATGCTGGAGATGGTCCAACTGTCCTGCCTGTTTCAGTTGGTTTTATACAACAACCATGTATTTTTTTCTTTTTTTTTTTTAAGTTTTCATTTTATACTCAGTGAAAAGAATTTTATCTTTGCACTGACCTTTGTGAAGATCCTACCAGTTCTTTTTGCTGTTCTTACATGTACAGTGCTGGTGAGACCACCTGCTACTGTCTCTGATATTATAAATCTAGTACAGAATTATAGAATCTGTACTAGATCTTAAAAATCTGGTCTAGAATAGACTAAAGGAGTTGCAAGTGTTGCAATGAAATTGATTATTGTAATGCCTCTGTGGAATGAAAAGTGATTTTCTTCCTTAATAATGAATAGTAAAAAGAGATAATTTCTAGTAAGAAAAATGTTTCTATTTGTGCACCAAACAGATTCTTGTCTTTGTTGTGAAACTGCCTTGAAACATTACAGATTATTTTTAAGAAAAAATTTCAGTATGAGAAGAGCACATATATATTGTTAAGAAACGAAAGGTCTTATTTGATAATGTGCTGAGAGACTTTAAAATTGTGTAATAATGGTCATGTGAAGAATTTCTGTGTTCTTTCCAAGAAAGCATTAGTAACCAGGCTAAGGTTTTCATGGGTCAGGCAAGAGTTGAAGATCCAGGCTTTAGTGCTCTGTCTGGCCCTCCACTGGAGAATAAAATCTGACAAGCTGCTGTTACTGACATAAAGCTTGATTTCTGAAAATAGAATATAAATTGCCTTGTGTAAGTATTGAATCTCTGTCTGGGCATCCTGCAGTCAGACTGACTGAAAAAAGTCTTTTATATGAGAGGTGATGATCTCAGCACTCAAAATAAATTTTGATCTTATTTTTTGCAGATTGGATTTCATAGTCCCCAGTTAGGGATTTGTCAGTCTTGTTGAAGGCAGCCAATAGGTGGTCTCAGCTTTTTTTTCCTCTCACTTATTTATCCACCAGGCTTCTGCAGCTCCTATTTTCCCCCAGCTGTTTAGACCATCCTCTATTCCAATTTTTAACCTCCATGGATTTTGTGTGTGGCATTAATAGCCTCACCCTTTACATGAAGTAGACCAAATGTCCCAGCTCTGAACTGCAGAGGCTGTAGTGAGTTCAGGGTTTGTTCCTTAGTGAGGTTGGTGAGGGGTTATTCAGCTTGAAAATACAACATGATAGATTTATTTATTGTGATAACTAACTCATTGGGAATGGATCATTGGAATACTGGATCTCTGAATTCCCACTTAGGTTTTAACCTCACTAATGGGAAAGTATTAAATATTTAGCAAGAGGCTTATTGACTTGCTTGCTGTTTGATGCTGCTCTTTTTTGGTTGTTTCTCTGGGCTGTTTCTCCTTTAATCAGAAGAGATGAGATTCTTTGTTGTCAGAGAAGTACTATGAGACTTCTTTCACATCTGATAAGGTTGAGAGTGGTTACCTCTGTTTTAGGTCTAGTATCTGGGAAGGCTGACAAATTTGTGTTTCTGTTCCATTTGTTAGGACTGGCCCTAACAAGTTGCTCTTGGCTTCAAATTTCAGTTGTCATAAACAATTCCAATTCCCCTGTTGACTTCCCCAACCTCTTAGTAGAATTTTCCTATGCGTGTCTCTCTGGTATGATCGCTTGCAACAGGGATCACGTAAAGAGTTATTATTTTTACTACAAGTTTCTCTCTTTGGATCCAAATAACCTTCCCTTTCCATATATGATTTGGGAAGGGCAAGGCTATTAGACTTACTAGGATATCTTCCCACTACAGTATGGCTGTTGTTTTTATTTTTCCTTCATCTGCCCACCCCATGCCCTCCAAGGGAACCCTGTGAATGGGGAAAGGTGTAATACAGAATCACCCAGTAGCACTTAAAATACATTGTTTGGGGGGCTAGAGTTTGCTTCATGTGTCATGGTTGAGAAATCCATGATTGTTTTCAGCTGGTTGATTCAAGACATGGGAAGCAAACTGTTGGGTAGGAAACTGCTCCCCTCAGTAAAGGATTTACTAACGAGAGGCTAAAAGAGATTGTCACGTGGGCAGAGTAATGGGCACGTAGCATACGTGGCTCACCCCCTTGGGGTTGTGTTCTCATTTCTTGATGTTATTTGATGAGTAATTCCTCCAAATGTCCCATGTCTAGCACATCACAGAAGGTGGGAATCTGTAGAAACATAGAATCATAGAATAGTTTGGGAAGGGACCTTTAAAGGTCAACCCCACATGTATTGCTCTCTACAAGGAATTCTTGAGGGGTGCTGCACTGGAGAACAGTATCAGGCTTTCTTTGGGTTGGTCATCTGGGTTTCCCTGTAAAGTTACTTTTATTATTTTTTTCTAACCACTTTCTAAATGTCTTGTGTCCTTCTAGTTGTGGTTCTCCAATTCAAGTTTCAGAGGTGAAACTGCTCTCTTTTTCATCAGGCCAGTTAACTGTGTTCCTGCCAGCAGAGGTGAAATCTATAGGGACAGAAACAGATCATGTCCTGCCTTTGCAAGAACTGGCCATGAGGACCCTCTATAACACCTACTACAGGTTTTTGAAAGGTATGAAATTTTCTGCTTTCTTCAGATAACAGAAAGAGTGAAAGTGTTTTCTGGCAGTGATAGGAACATTTTTAACAGTTCTTCAAAGGCTTGGGCAAGGATTTATATTTTAAAAGATTTATTTAATCAAATTATGTTTGAAATGCTGCATTAGAACAAAAATGTCCAATATCAAAAACCAGAGTTCCAAGACTATTTCTGAGGTCAAGCGGTGCTTATAAATGGTTTCTTACTTGAAGCCTGTATGAAGAAGGACACTTTTTTTTGCAGGAGAAACTCTTTAATGGAAATAGGAGATGAGAAATACAGTTCCTGAGGCAAGATCAGATGCATCAGCCAACAATGCAGCTCCTTGCCAGGCAGCACACTCCTAAACTGGCAGACTTGTTATACATAAGGCAGAAGAAATGCGAGCAGCCCTCGGCCATTTCAGCACAGCGTGACAGCTGAGCTGCTTTAGTTCTGCCCCAATTCAGGCTCTCTGCTCTGAAGTGGCCCTTGGCTCATCTGGTTCTGCATCATGCAATCACATGAGTTAGCAATATCTGATGATAACCTGCAGATCCTCTCAGATCTGGATGTGTTGTGACTCCCCACTGTTGATGCTATCTTGGGAATTCTCAGCTTTAAAGGTCAAAGGAGAAAGCGGAAGAGTGGAGAGTTCCAGTGGGAAGATTAGAGGGGTTATGGAAAGGGTCTCTTTGTACCTTGGCCACTGGAGTAAATCCTCACTGCTTTGCCAAGAGAAGTGTACAAGGAGGTCTGCCTTTTCTCACCCACTTGTGACTTGCACAATCATTTCTGGAATCCAGCTGTGTGGATATGGTTCCTGAAGATGCCAGTGAGCTTTGGTGTGGGAATGGGAAGGTGATACTGCAAAATCAGTTTAAGGACTGGTTTGTAAACGGTTTTATACAAGGCTGTGAGGATTACACCTATTTTCAGCCAAGATGCAGACCCTGAAAAAGATGGATTTATATATCCATATACACACGCCCATAGCTGTGTCCTATTCTGGGTGGCCTTATTAAAGACTGTGGGCATTAGCACTGCAACAGCCCAGTTTTGGTGAGCAGGAGCAGTGCCTGTGTCAGACAGGTGTACGATAATGCTGTGCTGGGGAAGCAGGTGGCATGTATGATTAAAGTAGCAGATTTCATCTGTCACTGCCTAAATTTGCAGTTTCAAGAGTGCTGTTAAATACTTGGCTGCTGCTGGGGAAGTGACAGAAGTGACTGGACTACTTTTCCTCAGTCTTTGCTAGGCTGCAGTGTGACCTTTTCTTTCTGACGCAAATGTCCTGCCTGTCCCCTCCTTGGGGCTCTTGTGGTACGTTGTGTCTGGGGTTCAGCCTTGCAGTGGTGGAAAGCTGAAACCAGTGTGATACCATAAAACTGATTTATCAGGTACTGCATCTTGTCTTGATTACTCAGCACCTAAACTCACTCACCTGTCTTGGCTGTCTCTCAGTTTCTAGATGGAGATCAGCATGTGGGGTTTAATTTATAAAACACTCTGTGGTTTGGGCCAGGCCTGGGAAAGTGATGGCTCTTTCCCAGGAAATGACCCTGGAGTCCCTTTTGGTGAAAATGATGGCATCTTGTAGGCTGTGGGGGAACACTTAACAGATGAGGAATGTATCGATCTTTTTAGAGTGGTCTCTTTGGTTGGGCCACTGAGAATTATGCTGGGCTGGATTGAATTTCAAGTAATTCCAAATACTGCAAATCTCTTTTTGCTGATGGTGGAGTTTGGGCTTTGTAGTGAGGTTAGCTATCCTGCTGGATTGGTTGCTGAAATATTTTAATAAAATACTACTGATGTCCTTTTCATAATGTTGTATTGTTATTAGTTGTTATTAGTTATCTAGACAGATTAGACATCTGTCTACATCATCTCTGTGTCTAAAAATCCTTCATGATCTTTTAATCCTTTCTAATATTTGCTCAAGCTGTAATATTTTCACCTGAGTATTTTAGCCCAGTTAAAGTTATGCCCACAGATGCTAAACTTGTACATTTAACTTCAACTTTTTGAATTTAGACATGGAAAGCACTATGTGCCTCACTTTAATTGTGGTAATTTGTATTACCTCATTGTTTTGACAAAACCTTAAGAATGTGAGGCAGCTGTTTTCTGAATTGTTCATGGATCATGCTTGTGTTTGCCTTTATCATGCAATCATTTTATTATAAATATTTTTTGTTTTTTTTCTTCTCTAGATTTAAACTTTCTGACTCCAATTTCACTACCCAAAAGCCTCTTGGAATTGCTGCACTGTCCCTTGGGACACTGCCACCGCTGCAGCCAGCCTATGTTTACCATTGTCTACCCAAAGCTCTTTCCCTTGAGGGAAACTCCAATGGCAGGATTGCATCAAGGGTAATTATACAGGAAATTACACTGGGGTTTCGTTTAGGAAGAAAAACACCTTATGGAACAAAGCATATTCTTAAGGATTTTTTTTTTTAAACTTAGCATTTCGGATCCAAAGTCCCTAGCCTGTGATTGCATGTCTATGTTGACAAATATTTTATGCATGAGTCAACCAAAATATTTCTGTTAGTCTGTTAAAAGGGTCTTCAGATATGCTTGTCTCAGCCTGGTGTAAGACAGGAAGGGGTTTGGATAGGATGGGATTGAGCTGTTTGTGGTGGTGCAGCACATGCCTGGCAGCTCTGTGCCCTGGGAAGGAAGTGGTACTAACACCAGTAATTGCCCTCATGGTCTCAACCCTGACTTCAGATTGCCACCACCAAACAAAAAGTGCTGCAGGATCGAGATGGCAAAAAGCTCTTAAAGCTGGGGCTTAATTAAAATGTTCTGCAGTAAAATACTCCTGTTTTAATTTCCACACTAATTAACTTGAGATATGCTGTGGAAGCATTCTGCATAGGAACATACATTTTGTAGCAATACATGTTTTTAATAATACTTCAGTTTTATGGTTGTAGCAGTTGTGAAAGTGTCTGCAGGATTCACAAGTCAAGTGCACACACCCACACAGACTTGCTGGCCTGCTGGACAGTAGAGTCATAGAAGGGACTCAGAATGGGGATATGGTTCAGGGAATGTTGCCTTCATGTAGATAAAGATATAAAATACCTTTAAGGTGAGCCCTGATGGCTTTGCAGTGATTCTTTCCCTAATCATTATTAGTCTGAGTGGATACTGTAGCCTTCCATGAGCCATAATATCAATAAATCCACTTTCTGCAATGGAAAAGCATCATCTAAGGAATTTCAGCTTGTACTGTTTAAAAAGTAATAAAGGGGGTTTAAAGCAAAGTCTCTTGGAGTTAAAAAAGCAAAGGTGATGTTAGATTCTTGTTACAGAATTCAAGTCAAGCCATTAATTATAAAGCATATACCTAAAGGTGGTGGGCAGAAAAGAAAGGTGCTCTAAAAAGGAATGTTTTTGAGATTACTTGTTGGTGTCTGTATAATGCAGGGACACCACTTAGTTCCTGGCCTGAGGAAATCCATTGATTTGATAGTTGATTTGCTCTTCCATAAAAACAAGAAACTGCTTTTCAATAGGAAGAACTTCAATAAAAGAGAAGAGACTAATGGGTGGTTCAGGTCGATGGTACCTGTTTTACACAGCTGTATCATAGCCTGTTTTGCTGTCAGTTTGTAACATGAGAAGCATCTGATTTGTAAGCAGTTCAGCTTTATGAAATGAAACAACTTAGGTATGCCAAATCTGGGCAGCAGCCAGAGGGCTGCATAAATGCTATTTTGGAAAAGCCATCTTTCTTAGAAAGATCTGATTGCAGAGATTGTACATTTCAATTTCCCACTCTTCACTTCAGTCATATGTCGAAATTCAGTAGATTTCATGTTGAGTGAAATAATTAACTTCCATATTACAGTCATAATACTCTTAGTCATGTTATAATCATGCTATAAAGAATCTTTTTCAAACATTCAACAGTATCATTTTCTAAGAAAATGATTGAAAACTACTGGCTAGTCACTAAATCCATCTATTACCCTGAATAATTCAACAGTGTGAGAGTTTGGACTACTTTGTAATTAATTGCTAAGCATTGCTCATTGTAGAAGTTACAGTTACAAGATGATAGGCATTATCAGTAGACACCTTTAGGAATTATTAAAGTTAAGACTCCACAAAAACATACTTTAGAGCTGTTTTGGAAGAACATTCTAAAATTAACATTCTAAAATATAATAATTAAAAATAGTATTTCTGCATGGTTTTCACTTGTTTCAAAAATAGTTGTCATTCCTTCCCTTAGACAAGAATGTACTGTGTTCTGCAAAATGCCTTTAATGAATCCAGTCTTAAGTAGCTGACATTTGATGCAAATCCACAGAAAATGAGATCTAAACAGGGCAGCCTGTCATCCTTATCTCTGTAGCTTGTGCACTTGACGTAGTAAGATTATGTGGAATTGTGGAGGTGTGATAGCTGGTTTAGAAAGATGTGAAGGACAGGGTTTCTGTTCTAAAGAGCTTAAAGTGACCATGAAAACACACAGGGTAGGGATCCTGGGTGTTTGAACAGCACTGATTAGCACATGCCACATCCATGCCAGTAACTCCTGCCTGGATTCCGTATCACATTCTGTATCCTCTTAGAGGGAAGGAGAGTTACGTGTTGGAGTGGATTTCTGTATCTGAAAAAGCACAGATGCCATGAGCACTGGGTAAAGTGTGATTTCTGGGTTAGTGAAAAACAGATCTGAACATTTTGAAGGCAGATATCTCAGTCCCTGCCAGGCTGGAGCAGGAGCAGGGTCACCGAGGCTCGGATCGCACTTGCACAGTGCCGTTCCTGCTGCACTGCGTGGCACGGTGTGACAGCACTGCCTGTCACTCATCCTTTCTGAAGATCTGCTTGTTCACTCTGCTAACCAGGGAGGACACTGGCCTTCAGTCATGTCATGCCTACAAGCAGTAATTTAAGAAACACACGAGCAGGACCGAGGCTGCCCAGCTATTTTCCTGTCAGCTGCTAAACCTGCTGGCTGTGACACTCAGGCACACCCTGCTCAGAGAGAAAAACCACACACTGCTGCTCTAAAGCCAGTGCATAAGAAACCAGGAAGGTTTTGAGAACCCCTGCAGTGTTTCCCTGCCTTGGTGTCAGGCACTCAGAGACAGCAAATGAACCTGTGCTTTTTCTGGGCTGTGGAGATGGGCTAATCCCGTATTTTACAAACCAGCACGTTGTCTGTGTGGAATGAAGCCAGGAACTTTAATCTTTACTGACAACTGTTCCCCCCCTCCCCTTTTGTTTTTTTTTTTTTTCTCCTAGGAGGACAACTGTTAGTTTTGTGGCATACTGCTGCTCCACCCAGTGTCTGCAGACTTTTGACCTACTGAGTTGATAAACATTTCAACCTCCTCAGGAGTGCTGCCAGTGTAAAGCTGCGTTCGATGCCGTGTCCCCGTGGTACTGGAATACCGTGTGTGCTTGTGCCAAAGCAGCAGAAGTGCCCAGTCAGGAACACTCTGAGGCACTTAAATCCTGCCCTATCAAATCTGGATGAACTGCAGGAACTTTTCAGAAGTGTAAATACTGAGCTTTTAAAAGTATTAATTTCTTTCTCCTCCAAGGCAGCACACAAACCAAACACATTCACAAGCTCTGACTTCAGGATTTCCAGTATTTTTCAAATGTGCCTGATTTCAGGTTGACCCATTGCATCATTTGAGGCAGTTGCATTCCTCTAACTGGAAAAAGAAAAGTTCAGTTATGGCAAACAAATTTTTCTCTTATTCATCCCTGTCCTCTTCCCCTGTACAGCTGCAATCAGGTGTACTGCTGTAAGCCTGCAGAAACCTTTGATGGATCCCAGTAACTTTTCCATAGAATTCAGCCTTACTTTCTCCCTCTCATCTTAATGTTTACTGCAGCAGAGTTATCCCAGTTGTATACCAAGTCTGTGACAGTTCTGTGTGGTATTTAAATCCACATGCTAAAAGCAGATCTTTCTTTCTAGTATCATTAAATACCACAGTTATTTAATGGGAGTAACTAGGATATGTCTGGAGACTGAAGATCCTGTTTCAGTGAAGGCTGGTACTGATGCCTACACTAAGGGCTCTTGCTCCAGCATGTTTGAGGGTGTGTTGTCTTTATTTTCATTGCTTTATTTTTAGAAATAGTTCTCCTTTTGTTCCATGGAATTCTTCAGGAAGAAGACAACTTTTAAGTATCAATTTCCCTTGGAAAAAATCCAACTAGTAATATGATAGTAAATCTTTATATTTATTGTATTTTTACAGTTGCAGGCTGTAGCTCTGCAAAGAGCTGGTCTTGATCTTTTTCTAGATTCAGCATTTGGCTGATTTGTCCAAGTGTGTCAGTGGATTGTGTGCCTTGGAGAAGGCTGGAAGTCCAGGAGCAGGTGTGTTTCTCCATGCACAGGTATATTTGCACACATGGATACCTACACAGAAGGGCTGGGACTTTTGTTTTTATATATTAATGGCAGATTTGGTGCAAATTGCCACTCACTATCATATTTGTGGGAATCTTTTTTGTTACATCTTGTTTATTTTAAATAAAGAACAAAAGATGGAAAAAAGGCCCAAAATGCCTATGTGACTAAACATTTTCATTTTATACTAAAACAGTTTATGGATTATTAGCCCCTTTTGATTTGTTTTTGAATATGTAATATTTTTTTTAATATAATTTGTTCTTTTTTTTTTTTTACTTTCTATTTCTTAGGTATAAACTACTTGTTGATTCAGCACAGTGTGCTGCTCTGTGCAGTAGGTAGTTACAAGCTGAAATAGATATGAATGAAACAGTTTGTTATAAAAATGGCAAGATAAAGAGACTTATTTGGTAGTGTATTAGCATATGTTGTGGTGAGGTGTACGTACTTTGAAGGCAGGAGGCATTAAAATGTTTTCCTGTTGCCAAAGAAGCATTTGTTCCCTCTGCAGGCTTCCTGGCATCTCTTCAATAAATAGAGTATCTTAAGAGCTTAAAAGAGTACCAAAAAGGCAGTTTTGAGGGTGGAATTTTTGGGTTGTGCATGTAACTTGTAAAAATCTTTCCTGGTTTTATTGGGTTGGTTTTAAAGAGTTGAATTAGCATTAAGAAATGTAGAACTTAATCATTCAGGAATGCAAGTATCATCTACTGCTTAAGAATCGTGAAACTTTCTAAAATAAATCCCATTTATTAAATCTGCTTTGCAGTAGGGGAAAGAGCCATGTCCAAGCAGCCTTGGTGCTTTTGGAATTCTGTCTGTGTCATTTCCCAGGTTTGTTTCCATGTTGGAATCCCAGCAGGCCCAGCCACCTCACATTGTTCACTGCTGAGGCAGCAAAATCCACCTTCAGCTTTATCCTTTTCCTTCAGTACCTCAGAACTGAGATGTAAATTGCCCATGTACAGTTATATCTGTATCAGAAATGTGCAAGTGTAGGACAGAATCCACTTTTTTAAAAACAGATGATACAAGCTATGGTAGTGTTACAGATGTTAATTTTTATACAATACTCTGATCAGGATTTTTCAGTATTAATTTTTACTGTGGCTTCCTCTGTCTCTGAAAGAGATGTTTTCTTGGAAGTTTTTGTCCTATTTTATAGCAAGTTGTAGACTTGGAATCACAGTTTATATCTGAATTCAGTCTGTAAATACTGTTTTGGAGTTAAATCTGGCTGTGGTCACCTAAAAGACATCAGCATTTGTTTTATTAGGAGTCAAGAAGAGTGAAGCTTGATTTTATTATTATACCTATTTTTTTTTTCTTCTTCCCATAATCTAATTATTTCTTATTGAGTCTGCATCAGTCTCTTTACTATTGTCTCCAAGTGCAGTTCAGAAGAAATTTAGCCTGTTCTATAAGCAGGATGAATCTTAACTAACACTTTAATAGATGATATTTCAAGAATGGAATGTTCAATAAATAAATGACTTAAACATGCAATTGAAGCTGAAATGTCATACCCTATTTTTATAAAACAAAGAAGGGGAAAGCCAATATATAGACTGAGAATGCAGCTTAAATTCATGTTTGATGTTTTGTTTTTTTTTTTTTTTTTTTTTTTTTTAATCTTAAATTCATATTTGATGTTTTGGGTTTTTTTTCTTTTATATGAACAGTGTTTGTATTCATCTATATCTTTGGGTGATATTCTTCTAGATTAAAATAACTCCATTCTCACTTGTCCAAATTTTTCTAAAGTTGTTCTGCTGTTAAGAGTATTTCATAACCAGCAAGCATGAGAGCCAGCTATGCAAAGTGTTTGTATTCATCTGTATCTTTGGGTGATATTCTTCTAGATTAAAATAACTCTATTCTCACTTGTCCAAATTTTTCTAAAGTTGTTCTGCTGTAAGAGTATTTCATAACCAGCAAGCATGAGAGCCAGCTATGCAAATTGCAGAGAGGGGTTTTTTTGCTGATTGAACTGTGCATCACTGGTTTTTCAAGGTGCCACAGTGCTTGGACTTCTCTTTAGTTGGTTTGTTTCTGGGTAATTTTTGATTTCTTGCTCTGCTTTGTCAGGTTAGTTCCCACCTAGATAATTTTTTCTGTGTACTACAAAACTTCAGGTGCCAGATGTTGAAAAAAATGACCATTTATAAAAATTTTTGTTTTTAACAGTAGATATTCATTCTTCACTTAGGGTGGAAGCAGGAAAAGTTTTTTGGTTTTTATTTCTCAAGGCATTACAAAGAGAAAGGTGCAGGAGAGGGATGAGATGAAATAAATCTTGAAGCCATTGATACTGCTATAAAATTTTTCTAAGTAAAGATTAACTCCAATTATAATTAGGGATCACAGGCATAACTTTTGTCTAAGTTGTGATAATAGGCACCATCTTAATAAAATTGGAACCCTGTATAGAGGTAGCTTTTTGTTCTGCCATGAAGGAAATTGAGGAATCTCTGGCTTTGTTTAAAAATCCTTTTGAGTTCTTTTGCCACGAACACTGTTACATTCAGAGCACTGTTCCTGGGAGCCTTCCTCATCATCTCTCAGAGGATCAGAAATGCCCTTTCCTGTACAAAGAGCAAGGTCTAATATAAAGAAATGTGTATTTTTCTGTTTTGATGCTTCTGCTGGGCTCTTACCACGGTTCATTACAAGCCTTCTATTTACTTGGTTGTGGTGAGGTTGAGATGTTGCTCTGAGCAGAGCGCTGCTGTTTATTGCCAAGTTGGCTTCAATTCCTGCAGATTGAATTCTGCTGAATCCCTTCTTCTGGCATTGAAGGGAGCACAGGACTGTTCTAACACCCGTGTGGGAGCAGCGTGTCAGGTTCTACTGACATCACAGCCCAGCTGAAGACTGGAGAGTGGCAAGCCTGTCACTAGAGGGGACAACTGGCTTTTGAAGGCCACTTTGGCCCACCAGAGTACCACTGATAACAGAAGAACTTCTGCCCTGATGTCAGTGGACAATGGGTCAAGTTCTAATCGATGAGAGGGAGGAATGTGTGTTGCCATCTTGGTATTTCTTGCAAAAACTGGGACGACACCTGAATCCCTAGCTGCTGCTCTGCCTGCAGCTGCACTTCCATAATTCCAAGATGTAACTATCTTTGCCTCTTACCTCCCTCTTAATACTACTCGTGTTGTTGCAAAATGTTATAGTTAACTTGCGATGGAAGAGGCTGAATAAATTGAATCCAGAGTTTTTATTACTTTTTTGTATTACAGACCTATTTTGTAGGAGACTGAAGGTCTGGTGGAAAGAAATGGCAATGTTCATGTGAAGTCTTCATTGCTTTTGCTTTTATGTGTCCTTTTTTGGATTATGACTTGAACTCTGTTTGCAACTGAGTTCATTCTGTGTCTGTGGAAAGCACATGTGCATTGCTTTCTTGCTCTGTATTAACCAAATGTCACTTAGTGTGAAGGTGAGCTTGCTAGATGGTTTATTTAAAGTTAGTGGTGCAAATTATTGTATGTGCTTGTTAATAAACTATATTTTTGGATAGAATTACCATTCATTAAAATTAACTAAATTCTTGCTCCTGGGACTATTAAGCTATGTTAGAATGTAGCATTGAATTTACATTTCAGTTCATTTGCATGGTAATTAGCTAATTAGTCTCTTGTCCCAAGGCTGAAGAGGTGGGGTGAAGACACTAAAAGCACTCCCAAGCCCAAAACACCACTTCAATTCATTTAATCCCTTTGTCTCAGACAATGTAGTTCATCAGATCTTGCATAATAGGAACAAAACCCATATGGAAACGTTACTTCAGACCCTTCCACGGATTGATCAAAAGGAAAATAAGTTTCTGTAGGGCTGTACTGCCACCCTGATAGTCCAGAGATGAGGCTGTGGTTCATGGATTCCTTACTAAGCAACATTCAGCAGCTTTTTTTCCTCATTTAACAGATATCATGGGAACAAGGCTGCCAAAAATAAGAAGAAATTAAGCATCTGTTTTTCCAGTTGTTTCACTCCTTGCTATGCAGCATTTTGCTTCAGTCAAAGCTGCTGCTCTCCATGTTGTGATGAGTTCTTTGAGCTGGAGGCTGTCTGGATTTCTGTGAGTGCGTTGGGTGAATTACTGAGTATCCATTCTCCAGTGAGACCTGTGGTGGCCAAGGTGACTCAGATCAGTTGTAAACCTTGCAGGTTGAGGTGCTGTCCAGACTTCCCTAAAGCCTGTTTGGTAGTTAGCTTACAGTTATTTGACTTTTTTGTATTTTACAAGTGACAAGGTAACTTTTTCTGCCCTTGCAGTGGAGGTAACCCTCTGTTTGCCTGGCAGCAGGAGGAGGATGTCAGTCCCTTAATAAATGAGAGAACAACCCTTAACCTATAACTTTTACCAGGCACTGATGTGTCCCTTATGAATTAGAAAAAAAGAAATGGGAGAGCTTAACATCCTTTTCCTTTGCAATTAAAAGTACTTGGCATAAATGCAAGCTAAGTGGAAACTTCAGTGACTGAATAATGCTATTGTATGCAGGAAATGAGAGGAGCTGAGATCTCACTTGGAAAGGCACTGGATGTTTTGTGACTTCTAAGCCAAGATTTAGGGCTGTTCTATGTGGTGACATTTTGAAAACTTGAATGCCAGGTTGAACCCACTGCATCTGGGTCCCCCAACTTCAGCAACAATTTAATGTTGCAGCAGAACTCTCTCTATCCTGCACTGAAGAACCCCACCAGTATTCCCTCTAGCTGGCTCAGGACTATCAGATTTCTGTCTGCTGCTTCAGCAATAAAGAAAGCAGGAGCTGACCATATGCTTTTTTTACTTTTTACGTTTTAAATAATAAACCCCTCATGTCAGGCTCTTTCAGCACCCATTGTGCCCTTCAGACACCTCCTGCTCCCAGGCAAAGAAAGACCTTGACACATCTGTGAGAGATCTCCAGGCTCAAGGAAGCGGTTCTGTTGTTGGAGGTGCTGAAGTGATTTGACTTTCTGATGATGCCTTCCAAGTGGCAATCAAGGGCTAATTTCTCAAGTACCCTGATGCTCTTTTGTATGTTCATGAGGAATGTAAATATTGACTGGCTCTTTCTGCCAGAGAAAGCTGCCACTCCTGGAGCCCTGTGCTGGTGCTAAATATGACTGTGGCCACGTGGTGAGGA